TATTACTTGCAATAGCTGCAGTACTCTGGCATCCTTATCACCATAACCTGAATAGGCCAGAAGTGAGCCCTCACCGTTCAGCAGCCTGTCCAATTAAAGACGAGACAATTAACACTTAGCACAGACAGTACATTAAAGATAGACTGAAACAAATTGGATTAATTTTTATTCAGGTCTACTAATCATGGGATCTAAGTTACGCATGAATTGTCTGATTGACACAGAGACGAGCAGGTTGCAGCCATTACCAAAAAGCTTCTATAGAAATGAAAAATTGGCTGCAAATTGTCTTTATTGTTTTTGACTTGTTTTATTTTTTTTAGAAAAGTTTTTATTTTTTGTTTTATTTTTTAGATTGTAGTTTTTTTTTTAATTTCTTTCTGTAAGACCCGTTTTATCCTTTCCTAAGGATTTTATGCGTCTAATAAAAAATATAAAAATATATATTAAATGAATACAATCTTCTGAGGGTACTACTGCGACCCATTCCCCTATTTGTTATAACTATTTATAAATTTCAATGGCAGTTGAATTCAACAAGCAAATCAACGAGCTGTGTGCAATGATGTCATTGTCATATCCATAATAACCACCATGTCTGTCTGTCTGTCTGTCTGTCTGTCTGTCTGTCTGTCTGTCTTCGCACCCACACAGGCTTGACAGGATTGCCCCACTGTTCTGTACTCTGAGATATGCATGAAGACAGTACAATGGGAGCATTGACAGACACGTAATGAAGGTCATCTTAGGCAACCAAGGTTCACTTATTTGGCCTTTATACATTGGCAGATTCCTAATGCAAACAAATATTCCATGTAGACAAAAACAACAGCACATGCTCTGGTACGTTTCCATGGAAAATCAAATGTGAAGTCGCATGTTGTTCTAAGTTAAGCTATGACATGAAAAAAAGAGGGCAAAATCTATTGGTTTAAATTGATGCAAGTTATTGTTACAGGAACTCCGATTGATGGATCCAGCTAATTGGCGCACACAATCAAATGATTCAATATAACTAAGGTTAAATACAGCTTTTCCTAACATGATCACACGAGGGGGCCATGAAAAGTCAGCTTCAAAATGTCTGCCATCCTGGAAACACTGCCTAACCGTTCTGTATTGGGAATTCACATTTTCTGTTATGATAAGATGCAGATCCCCAGTGCAATACAAAAACATGACACACTGAAATTTATGGTCATATGATGAAAGATGTATGATAATAGTATTATTACAATTATTAACTACAAAGCATTTATTTCATTGTACCACAGGAAAATACACAGCCCACAATGCAAGAGTCCAACGACACAATAAAATACTAGTATAATAAATTTCTTTGTGCGATATAGTGAAATGTTTGAGAAATTTGTCCTTGTGTTTTTCAAAAATCAATATATTACACTTAAAGAAAAATTGCATTTTTCAAAACTTTTTAAAACACAGATTTTTGAAATAATTCAAAAACAAAAAGTACCCCATCATTAACAATATATAATTTGTTCACCAGCCTACAATTTATGATGTGGCATAATATTCCCACCATAGGAACCTATGGTAAAATGTTATAACAGTGCCAAAATGGCAACTATCAATTAAAATACATCAATAATTTTTTGGAAAATAAAGTTGGTGACCATGACTTTTTAAAGTCAAAATCCTTATATTGCCCTGAAGCACAAATTATTGCAAAATAAATAAATTCTGTATTTTCATTCATGGCTTTTACCTTAAAGTGCCTGTGAAATGGCTGCTATTTTCACACCCAAAATTATTCATTGATACATAAATATTATAAATTTTTATGTTTCTAAGCATAAATTATATTTTTTAAGTGAAAAAATGAGTTTTAAACTCAGTCTACGGCAACTTTGTTTTTGTGCATTTTAAAACGAGGCTCATTAGCTTCTCATTTGCATACAGAAATTCCCCCTGTGACGTCAGAAGGGGAAGTTGCTGGGTAGCTTGTATTGCCGATACATATAAATAAGGCGAATTTCTTGCGTTGTTTTCTCGTCTTTGACTAAATTGCCACTTATGTACTTGTTCATCGAGGAAGAATGGATCATAATGAACACATAGTATCAAGTTTGTTGCATAGGGTTGAGTCAGATGCGAAATATGTCCATTCTGGTGTAGCTAGTCACCGTGGTCGTTACAGTCACCGGCGCACGTTTGTACACTGTCGCTGGACTCCGGCATTGGACAAAATCAAATTGGACGCCTGAATCGTCTTGTTATTTAGCAGGTTACTAGACAGGTCACTACATTGTTTTATTTCATCGATCGGCTGAGTAAAAAAACACATTCAAAATTAAAATAAAATCAAAGAAAGCTTAGAAAGAACTCCCATGTGCCGAGAGTATTGGAGACACATTAAATATAATTCGAAATTACTTAGCTGAAAACTAATTATGCAAATCAGAAAATTAATATGACCAGATTTGAGTGTAAAACTAATGAGGTCTGCGCAATGTAACAGAAAATCTATGTCTCCAAGTTTAATTGAAATGTGATTAGAACCAAAAAATTATGAATTATTATGCTTATTAGGGAATTAATATGAACAGATTTTTACCCCAAACTAATTAGGTTTGTACATTGTCCTAGAGCATCTTTGTACTAAGTTTCATTGAAATGGAATAATTAGTACCGTGAAAACTCCAAAATTTCGACCCCTCTAAAAATTCGATTGGCTA